TGAATGATTTAATGAAGAGTTTATTAATTTATTTGATTTCTTTTGAATGTCATTCCAAGTGTTGCACACGTTTTGGTTTCATACGAGACTTTCTATAATAATAATTATTATTAATAATATATATATAACTCTTAATTTGTTCGTTAATTTTCTACAAATATAACAATAATATAATTTACTTTAAATATATATATTTTTGGACATTTTATACGTTTTATATATCGATATATTTCTAAACAAATAGAAACTTAATTTAATTTTCAAAGTGTTTGACAATTATTTTTTAATTCTAATGTCTGTATCGATCACAACATCTCTAATGATTGCAGACTTATTGTTAGTCTTGAAAATGTCAGTATTATATCCTCTTTAAAAAGCAATACATTATTGTTATTTCAATTTAAATTAATTAAGAATTTCATTTGAGATGACATTTTAAATTAATTATAATTGCTGATTGAATTTCATTAATAAAATATAGTTTAATACTTTGTTTTTTAAACAAATACTCAATTGATCCAAATTTAACCTTTTTAGTAAATATAAATTAATTTAAATTTTATTTTATTAGAAATTAAATCTAAAATTAATTTATGATTATAAAATTAAAATACAGTTTATTAACAGTAATATCAAATACTTCTATTTTATTAGTGTATACAGTATTGAGAATATCCATTTAAATGGCATCTTCTAGATTTGATCAAATATTGTACCTAGGGTTGCCAGATATACAGGAATGATAGGTATTATACATTAATTAAGGAATTTCGCAGAATGGTAGTATTCCTGTACATTGAAAAATACAGGAATAAATATTTTAGCAATAAACTATAAAAGCATTACAATATTCAGATTTGCTTATAATATGCACCAAATGTGCACCAAATGTCTGGGTTAATGCTATAAATCAAATTAATTTAAACTCAATTAATTTAATTATAAAAATATTGTAAAGTCATCCAAATTATCGCAAAAGTATAGTTTTTTAAAAAAATGGTATGAATTTTATATAAATTTAACTTAAAAGAATGAAATACAGAAAACTACAGGAATTTTAGGTAAAAATGTTCACTTTTATACAGGATATCCAAAATATATTCTGGCAACGCTAACTGTACCGTATAGTGCAGTACGTTATTACAGTAACTAATTATTTTATAATACCGGTACATTTGATAACGTATTTAATAATTCAATACAATTGAATAATTCATTGCATTCTTTAAAATAAAAGTGATTTATAGTGAAGAGAAATAAAAGTTCAGACAATATTTGCTAATTTGTACACTAATTGGACACATTTTAAGCAAATTTAATTACATTTTGAAACTATTTCAGTGAAAATTTGTACTAAAAATAGACGTCTTTTAAGATACACTTCCACTACCATTGAGTCAATATATGAATATCATTGAGAGAATACTGAAAACATACAATTCATGCAATTAAACACAAAATCCATACAAATGTTTTACAATCAGTTAACCGAAAGGAAATAATTAATAATTGTTTCTTTCCTATTGTTTTATTGAGGAATTTATGATGAAATACGTTTGAGATCTACCCTTCACTCGGATTTTTGGTAGCGATTAATTTCTATGCAATTCTATGTTATAGAATCTATAAATACTTTATTGTATTTACAAAATACATGTTAAATATTTATTTATATTTTTCACAAGTAATTCAAATTC